CGGCTTCAGAGATAAATATGGAAGTTATGTCCAACTGATAAGTCAGTTCTTTATATATTTGGTTTTCTTTTTTTATGTATGTCTAAATGTACGGTATTTTTGCAGTCGGAATTTTTCTAGATAGGAAGTCCTAATTATCGATTTTGAGATTCTGTTTAATATTACCACCCAGCTAGGACTCCTAGGAAAAATCATATAATTTTATCGGATAGATTAATCAAATTTCTATAATGGTTGCCAGTTTCATGGACCCTCTTTTATTTGGTTTTGCAGGAAATAAGGTTTAATAAAACCGGGCCAATGCATAAAAATTCAGTATGTAGGGAGTGCAATGTGTACGAAATAAAATATTTGTACATATATACATAAGTTCCGATTGCTGGCCAACCGCTTTAAAAATAAATATGGAAGTTAATAATAATAATATGGAAGAAACATTTGTTGTAGAAAGGAAGTAACATTCCTCGATTTTCAATTTGTGTTTAATATTACTGGCTAATTTTAACAGAACGATTAATCAATTTTCTATAATGGCTGCTTTTTTTAAAGGATTTCTTCTTTGCTGGGTTGTTTTAGAAATATGGTTTAAACAAAAGGGGCCATTGCCAATGTACGGTGTTTTTGGAGTCTGAATTTTTGTTGATAGGAAGTTCTTATTTATTGATTTTGAGATTCCCATTAATATTACAACCTAGCCAGGACTCCCAGGACAAATCATATAATTTTATCGGATAGATTAATCAAATTTCTATAATGGTTGCCAGTTTCATGGACCCTCTTTTATTTGGTTTTGCAGGAAATAAGGTTTAATAAAACCGGGCCAATGCATAAAAATTCAGTATGTAGGGAGTGCAATGTGTACGAAATAAAATATTTGTACATATATACATAAGTTCCGATTGCTGGCCAACCGCTTTAAAAATAAATATGGAAGTTAATAATAATAATATGGAAGAAACATTTGTTGTAGAAAGGAAGTAACATTCCTCGATTTTCAATTTGTGTTTAATATTACTGGCTAATTTTAACAGAACGATTAATCAATTTTCTATAATGGCTGCTTTTTTTAAAGGATTTCTTCTTTGTTTTAGAAATATGGTTTAAACAAAAGGGGCCATTGCCAATGTACGGTGTTTTTGGAGTCTGAATTTTTGTTGATAGGAAGTTCTTATTTATTGATTTTGAGATTCCCATTAATATTACAACCTAGCCAGGACTCCCAGGACAAATCATATAATTTTACCTGATAGACTAATCAATTTTCTATAAGGGTTGCTAGCTTTATGGACCCTCCTTTATTTGGTTTTGTAGGAAGTAAGGTTTAAAGAAACCGGGCCTATGCATAATAGTTCAGTACGCAATGAATGAAATATGTATGGTATAAAATATATGTACATATGTACATAAGATCGGATTGCTGGCCAACCGGCTTCAGAAATATATATGGAAGTTATGTCCAACTGATAAGTCCGTTTTTTTATATAATTCGTTTTCTTTCTTTATTTTTGAAAATAATGTGTAAACAAATAAACTAACAATTTTTTGTTGATTAGAAGTCATATTCCTCGATTTTTAAATTCTGTTTAATATTACTGGCTACCAAGAACTCTAAAGGCTAACCATATAATTTTAACATAAAGATTAATCATTGGTTTTCTTTTTTTTTTTTAATAATGTTTAAGCTAACAACTTTTTGTTGAAAATAAGTCATATTCCTCGATTTTGAATTTGTGTTTAATATTACTGGCTTCCCAGGATTCTAAAGGCTGAACAGTTTTATGGACCCTCTTTTAATTGGTTTTGCAGGAAATATATTCTGGACGTTGATATGCAATGACTGCACCATCAAGTGGCCCATGCGACACCAAGCCAAAGCCTGTTACGCGCGGAACCCAACAGAACGCAGCCCTCCGCATGACGCGCGGCGCGATTAACCGAACCGGTCGCGAGCATGCAGGAAAGATAGATGTTAGGCTAATATTCGAGGAAAATTAGAGCTAATCATAACTAGACTAAGCTAAGCTACAGCTAAGCAAGCAAAAATTACCAAAATCAGAAACAAGACAAAACTAAAATGAAACTAACTACGGGAGAGGTAGGCTAGTATAAGAGATTTAAGAAGAGGAAGGGAGTTAGTTGAGGATATAATGTGGTAGAGGGAATTATAATCCGAGCATAAAACCCTAAAGGGTTCGTGTGAGGCATAATTCGATCTACATAGTGGAAGGAACAAACGATTAAAGTTTCTAGTGGGTCTAATGGGAATCGTAAAGTTTATGCGGCTCAGCAAGTCAGGGCTGTCTACATCCCCCTTTTTCAAGTTGTGCATAAAAATTACACCAAGCATTTTTCTACGACTAACTAAGGATGGAAGATTTATTAAAAGAAGTCTACTACGGTAGGATGGCAGTCTCACAGTTGCATCCCAGTTGAGGCCCCGTAGGGCAAATAATAAAAAGTTTTTCTGTACTGATTCAATACGGTCCTGATGTATGTTGTACTGATGGCACCATACACATGAGCCGTATTCTAAAATCGGACGAACAAGCGAGATATAGAGAGTCTTCGTTATATAGGGGTCCTCAAATTCCTTTGACCACCTCTTTATAAACCCAAGCACACCCATGGCTTTATTTACCATGGTAGAAATGTGTTCAGAAAACTTTAACTTGGGGTCTAGTTTAACACCTAGATCATCAACCAATGTAATTCTCTCAAGAGAACTACCGCAGAGGGTGTAAGGAGCCAGGAAGGGGCTGGAGCGATAAAAAGTCATAACATTGCACTTCGAGGCATTAAGTTGTAACAAGTTGCTGGCTTCAGAAATATATATGGAAGTTATGTCCAACTGATAAATCAGTTTTTTATATAATTGGTTTTCTTTCTTTTTTTTTTTTTTAAATAATGTCTAAACATATAAACTAACAACTTTTTGTTGAAAGGAAGTCTTATTCCTCGATTTGGAATTTGTTTTTTGTTTGTCGTATGCTGCGGTGGCAATACGAGAGTGTCTAATCGTAACGTAAACCAACTCCATCCTGGACCTGAACCAGCAGGTTCAGGAGAGCCATTATACGTTACGATAAGGTGGATTTTATTGTATTTATACTATACTTAGCATAATATTACAATTTCATGGGGCTGCTGTTTTACTTAAAAATATTGTATGAGTCTGCCTGTTGACTGCAGTTTTTCAGTAATAGGCAGCGCATACGTCACTTTACGGCAGCGGGAATCTCCTCTTCCGACATCTCTGTCTGCGCATTCATTTAAAATTTAAACAATACCTCGACCCCAACAGCAGTCCACTGATCGGGGGAGGGCAATAGGGAATTCATTAGAGATAAGTGACTTAAAACTCTAGAGATAAATATATATAGGTAATAGAAGAAAAAGTGATTTCTGTCAGTGCAGCGGAAGAGGTGAAAAATATTTACATATATGTGTTAATTATATTTTTTGTTATAGCTATGTTTTCAAGTTTCTGTCTTCCTTCTGTTTTAACATTTTCGCTGCCTTCTGGTCCGAGGCAGCGAGAAATTTATGTGTATAGGCATGTGAGTGGGTGTGCGCTCGATTTATCTCAATCAGAATATCTAGAGCGTTGTTGCTGGTGTCGTCTCTCTTCTACTGGTTTCGGTTGTGTGTGTGTAGAAGGGAGAAAAGAAAAATAGCTGCAGGCGAGTTGCTGCGGCTTATCTGCGATCAGTTTATCTTTCAGCAGCATCGTTTTCAGACGCGTTTCGGGCCTCGGTTTCAAAAATGGCACTTGCATACAATATTCAATGCAGAATCATATTCCGGTATCTCCATGGTCATCCGTGTACCAGAGTCCGGCGTTTCTGGTGCTGGCGTCCTGATCCTGGGCAGCCTCAGTGTCGTCCTGAGGTTCAGATTGACCAACGGAAGCTATTCTTGTTCATTTGTGTGACTCATCCGTAACGTCCCACAGTCAGGTCTACAATATCGAACTGCGCAATTTCGTCAGCAGCAATAAATGTATTTAATATTGCTGTTGTTGGCTGCTGCTCTTGGGTGACTGCATTCACCCCCGATCTTGCGCGTTCCCTTGCCCTAGCTAAAATATCCGTACTGTAATAACTTTGTGTGGTGCTGATACCTCTTTCTGAGGGGGGGGTTGTGGCTCCTCTACCCTTCATATCCCATGGCTCGCATTGCTCTCCTATTTGACGCGTCTGCCCTGTCTCTCCAAAGCTATTCCATTTCCGTGTATGGCCGCTGATAGGGTACAACTTCCATACGATTCCATTCCTGCCTCTCAATTTCCTTACGTAGGTGTGTGTTCAAGTAATCGGAATATCGAGGTCTGGTTAGCCTACATATATGGGGACATGGGGACATGGGGACATATGGGTCGTTGATGACTGCTGCTGCTTGCTGGTTATTGTGCGTTCTCATTCGGTCAACATATCTCTTACAAACTTTTGCATAAACCTCATCCACCGTCTCAAGGCCCAGGTCCCGGTGGATGGTATCGTTACGAACATACCATGGGGCATTAGTGATAGTCCGTAACGTTTTGTTCTGCTCAGTTTGCAGGCGACCAAATTCAAGGCTAGAGGCAAGGGGACCCCAAACAGGCAGAGTATATTGCCATATGGGTGCGATGACTTGTTTATACAGGAGTACCTTAGCATTCAGGCATAGTTTGCTGTTGCTGTTCAGCAGCCAATGAAGCTTCTTCACTCTAGCGCACATCAACACCAGCCGCTACTGAAGAACCTGAAATGAAAAAGAAAAGTCAATTAAATATGGCAGTTTATCTGCTAATAATTGCAAATTACCATGGCCAAATACGTGACCAGACCAGGATCATGTATATTAAATAATATTGATGAACGCCTTTCTCCCTTAAATTGGGAACACATGCAGTCATTCATTCATCAGTATTAGTAATTTTTCATCTAAACACCAGCCGATCCAGAAAAACTGAAATGAAAAAGAAAAATCAATTAAAACATGGCAGCTTATCTGCTAATATTTGCGAATTACCTTATATATGTGGCCGGACCAGTGTCATGTATATTGATGTATATTGATGAACGCCTTGTGCCCTTGAAATCGGGAACACAGGCAGCCATTCACCCATCAATATTAGTAATTTTTGCACATCAACACCAGCCGCTACTGAAGAACCTGAAATAAAGAAGAAAAGTCAATTAAATATTGGCAGCTTTTCTGCTAATAAATGCAAATTACCTTGTATACGTGGCCGGACCAGTGTCACGTATATTGATGAACGCCAATTGCCCTTAAATCGGGAACACAGGCAACCATTTACTCATCAGTACTAGTAATTTTACACATCAACATCAGCCGATTTTGAAGAACCTGAAAAGAAAAAGAAAAGTCAATTAATATTGGCAGCTTCTCTGTAAATAAATGCGAATTACCTTATATATGTGGCCGGACCAGTGTCATGTGTATTGATGAACGCCCTTTGCCTTTGAAATTGGGAACACAGGCAGCCACTTACTCATCATAATCGGTAATTTTGCACACCAACACCACCAAACCCGAAAAGAAAAAGAAAAATCAATTAAAATATCGCAGTTTATCTGTAAATAATTGCAAATTACCTTGTATATGTGGCCGGACCAGTGTCATGTATTTGATGAACGCCTTTTGCCCTTGAAATCGGGAACATAGGCAGCCATTTATTTCATCAAATTTAGTAAACCTGAAAAGAAAACGAAAAATCAATTAAAATATGGCAGTTTATCTGCTAATAAATGCAAATTACCATGTATATGTGGTCAGACCAGTGTCATGTATTTGATGAACGCCTTTTGCCATTGAATCGGGAACACAGGCAGCCATTTATTTCATCAAATATAGTAATTTGCATATAAACACCAGCCGATCCAGAAAAACCTGAAATGAAAAAGAAAAAGTCAATTAAAATCTGGCAGTTTGTGACCGTATATGTGTATATGTGACCGGACCAGGGTCATGTATTTGATGAACGCCTTTAGCAGTTTCTGAAGAACCTGAAATGAAAAAGATAAATCAATTAAATATTGGCAGCTTCTCTGTACGCCTTTTGCCCTTAAATCGGGAACACAGGCAGCCAGTCACCCATCAATATTAGTAATTTTGCACATCAACACCAACAGATTTTGAAGAACCTGAAATGAAAAAGAGAAATCTGAATGAATCAAATGAATCTGTTGATGTAGATTCACTTGGTTCTGGACCCCCTTTAATTTGCTTTTTTGGGAAATAAGGTTTAAAGAAACCGGGCCAATGTATAAAAATTCAATAAGTAGGGAGTGCAATGTGTACGGTATAAAATATATGTACATATGTATGTAATTTCGTTTTCGGTTTTAAATTTCTGTTTAATATTACTAGAACTCTTAAGGCTGAACATATAATCTGAACAGAAAGATAAATCATTTTTCTACAATGGCGGCTTATTTTAAAGATTTCTTCTTTGCTGGGTTGTTTTAGAAATATTTTTTAAACATAAGGGGCCAATGCCAATGTACGGTATTTTTGCAGCCGGAATGTTTGTTAATAGGAAGTCTTATTTATTGATTTTGAGATTCCTTATAATTTTACCAGCTAGCCAGGACTCCCAAGACAAATCATATAATTTTATCGGATAGATTAATAAATTTTCTATATTTGTTGTTTCTTATATGGACTCTCTTTTTCTTTTGGTTTTTAAGGAAATAAGGTTTAAAGAAACCGGGCCAATGCATACAAATTCAGTATGTAGGGAATGCAATGTGTACGGTATATAATATATGTACATATGTATGTAATTTCGTTTTCGGTTTTGAATTTCTGTGTAATATTACCGGCTACCCAGAACTCTTAAGGCTGAATATATAGTCTGAACAGAAAGATAAACCAGTTTTTTATAGTGGCGTCATATTTTGAGGATTTCTTATTTGCTGGGTTGTTTTAGAAATATGGTTTAAACAAAAGGGGCTAATGCCAATGTACGGTATTGTTGCAATCGAAATTTTTCTTGATGGGAAGTCTTATTTATCGATATTGAGATTCCTATTAATAAAACCAGCTAGCCAGGACTTCCAGGACAAATCAGATAATTCTATCGGATAGATCAATCAATTTTCTATATTGGTTGCTAGTTTGATGGACCTTCCTTTATTTGGTTTTGTGGGAAATAAGGTTTCAAGAAATCGGGCCAATGAATAAAAATTCAGTATGTAGGGAGTGCAATGTGTACGGTATAAAATATATGTACGTATGTACGTAATTTCGTTTTCGGTTTTGAATTTCTGTTTAATATTACTGGCTACCCAGAACTCTTAAGGCTGAGCATATAATCTGAACAGAAAGATAAATCATTTTTCTATAGTGGCGTCATATTTTAAGGATTTCTTATTTGCTGGGTTGTTTTAGAAATATGGTTTAAACAAAAGGGGCCAATGCCAATCTACGGTATTGTTGCAATCGAAATTTTTTCTTGATGGGAAGACTTATTTATCGATTTTGAGATTCTTATTAATAAAACCAGCTAGCCAGTACTACCAGGACAAATAATATAGTTGCATCGGATGGATTAATCAATTTTCAATAAGGGTTGCTGGTTTTATGGACTCTCCTTTATTTGGTTTTGTAGGAAATAAGGTTTAAAGAAACCGGGCCAATGAATAAACACCCAGTATTTAGGGAATGTAATGTGTACGGTATAAAATATATGTACGTATGTACGTAATTTCGTTTTCGGTTTTGAATTTCTGTTTAATATTACTGGCTACCCAGAACTCTTAAGGCTGAGCATATAATCTGAACAGAAAGATAAATCATTTTTCTATAGTGGGGGCTTATTTTAAGGATTTCTTTTTTGCTGGGTTCCTTTAGAAATATGATTTAAACAGAAGGGACCAATGCCAATGTACGGTATTATTTCAATCGAAACTTTTCTTGATAGGACCAATGCCAATAGACGGTATTTTTGCAATCGAAATTTTTCTTGATTGGAAGTCTTATTTATCGATTTTGAGATTCCTATTAATATAACCAGCTAGCCAGGAGTCCCAAGACAAATCATATAATTTTATCGGATAGATTAATCAATTTTCTATATTGGTTGCTAGTTTGATGGACCCACCTTAATTTGGTTTTGTGGGAAATAAGGTTTAAAGAAACCGGGCCAATGCATACAAATTCAGTATGTTTTGAATTTCTGTTTAATATTACTGGCTACCCAGAATTCTTAAGGCTGAACATATAATCTGAACAGAAAGATAATTCATTTATCTATAGTGGCGGCTTATTTAAAGGATTTCCAATTTGCTGGGTTCCTTTAGAAATATGATTTAAACAAAAGGGACCAATGCCAATGTACGGTATTATTGCAATCGAAATTTTTCTTGATAGGACCAATGCCAATAGACGGTATTTTTATAATCGAAATTTTTCTTGATGTGAAGTCTTATTTATCGATTTTGAGATTCCTATTAATGTAACCAGCTAGCCAGGACTCCCAAGACAAATCATATAATTTTATCGGATAGATTAATAAATTTTCTATATTGGTTGCTAGTGTGATGGACCCTCCTTAATTTGGTTTTGTGGGAAATTAGGTTTAAAGAAACCGGGCCAATGCATACAAATTCAGTATGTTTTGAATTTCTGTTTAATATTACTGGCTACCCAGAATTCTTAAGGCTGAACATATAATCTGAACAGAAAGATAATTCATTTATCTATAGTGGCGGCTTATTTAACGGATTTCTTATTTGCTGTGTTCCTTTAGAAATATGATTTCAACAAAAGGGACCAATGCCAATGTACGGTATTATTGCAATCGAAATTTTTCTTGATAGGACCAATGCCAATAGACGGTATTTTTATAATCGAAATTTTTCTTGATGGTATGGTATTCCTATTAATATTACCAGCAAGCTAGGACTTCCAGGACAAATCATATAATATTATCGGATAGATTAATCAATTTTCTATTATTCTTGCTAGTTTGATGGACTCCTTGTTATTTGTTTTTGTGGGAAATAAGGTTTAAAGAAACTGGAGCAATGCTTAAAAATTCAGTATGCAATGTGTACGGTATAAAATATATGCACATATGTATGTAATTTCCTTTTCGGTTTTGAATTTCTGTTTAATATTACTGGCTACCCAGAATTCTTAAGGCTGAACATATAATCTGAACAGAAAGATAATTCATTTATCTATAGTGGCGGCTTATTTAAAGGATTTCCAATTTGCTGGGTTCCTTTAGAAATTATTTAAACAAAAGGGGCCAATGCCAATGTACGGTATTATTGCAATCGAAATTTTTCTTGATAGGACCAATGCCAATAGACGGTATATTTATAATGCAAATTTTTCTTGATGGTAAGTCTTATTTATTGATTTTGAGATTCCTATTAATATTACCAGCTAACCAGGACTTCCAAGACAAATCATATACTTTTATCGGATAGATTAATACATTTTTTATATTGGTTGCTAGTTTGATGGACCCTTCTTAATTTGGTTTTGTGGGAAATAAGGTTTAAAGAAACCGGGCCAATGCATAAAAATTCAGTATGTAGGGAATGCAATGTGTATGGTATAAAATATATGTACATATGTATGTAATTTCGTTTTCGGTTTTGAATTTCTGTTCAATATTACCGGCTACCCAGAACTCTTAAGGCTGAACATATAATCTGAACAGAAAGATAAATTATTTTTCTATAGTGGTGGATTATTTTAAGGATTATCTGTTCGATCCCCCCAATCCCCCTAATCTTTTCCACTGCTCTACCAGCCCATGGATCCCACAGGGCAAGTGGCACTCGCCCAATATTAGGTGCGCTATTTTGGTTTAGAAACTTTACATTTTGAATATAAAGGATGCTTTGGGGCTTCGTTTTACAACTTCGCTTATATTCCTTAGCACTCTTAACCACCAATTTTTAACCTAATATAGTTGAAATAGGAGCTGTGGTTTGAAAAAAAGAGCAGAGGCAGTGCTAAAAATAATGCATACATTGGTAAAAAACCAGAGCGGACGTGTGAGACGCTTCTTACGCGTCTCAACTTTTTACGCGACACTCAGTACTACATCTGTACCTAAGCGGTTCTCTGTAAAATTTTAAATTTTTTCTTCATCTGTCATCTACATCTACAACACTTCTCAGGCCAACATGCTCCTTTAGCTCGCACCCCTTCCCAAGAACTGCACACTGCAGAGACGTGTCAGAGGCAGAGTGTGAATGAGAGAATTAGCAAAAATCAAATATAAGCTACGGGACGGGGTGGGTTTAGCCACTGCGAATTAATTTCTTCATTGTGGATTTAATAATGATCCTATCTGATCCCAATTCGGTGATCTGATAGATATGGTCATTCCCTACGGAATGGCGTTTTTGAAATAGACTTGTAACAGTGTGAGCATACAGAAGTCTGGATGCAAAATTTGGTGGCCTAGCTCTTATAGTCTCTGAGAACTAGCCGACAGACAAGACGGACAGACGGACAGACAGAAATGGCTCAATCGACTCGGCTATTGATGCTGATTAAGAATATATATACTCAATGGGGTCGAAACGTTTCCCTTTGTGCGTTACATACAACCGTTATTCGCACAAATGCAATATACCCTATTTACTCTTTGAGTACCGGGTATAATAATGCATATATTTGGATTTATTCTTGTGTCTTACACGCACACATAATCTTGAAACAGCTGCCTGGGGTACGCATACCGTTGTCTTAGGGGTGTCGTTTCGTTTTATGAACTGCCACATCTATAGACTGTATGGCTAGTGGTCACGCGTTAGTTCATTTGCCATAATACCTTAAAAAAATGTTGGTAACGATAGTTCGCACATTCATCGCAATGGTATATCGGTACATATTCCTCATCCCTAATTGCTATATTTGTTGTTAAAAACACCTGGAACCTTGGAATAAAAAGCGTATGTGTTTAATTAAATATAGTAATGTGTTTTTACCCTAGTAATTTTTATCACAGTTCGAAACGTGGATGCAATGCAAGCAAGTCAGCCGGATAAGTTGTCAACACTTACTCTGGAGGCACGCCAAAGGCACAACAAACAAAGAACATAATAACCAAAATAAAGAGAATTTAAAGCGATATAGTCAAAGGCAAAAAAAAAAACAATTGAAAGATGTCCACAGAAGAGCATGTGTGGCGAGCGCATGTTGTAAAATGCTTGCGCGAACGCAATCGTAAGGAATGTGAAAATTTCAAGGAAATAATTGAGCAAAGTAAGACACGGAGCAGAGCGTAAGTCACTTC